AGGACGCATTCCTGACCTGAAAAACAATCCATCTGCTCACTCCCGCAACTCCACAATGTGTTTGGAAGAAAACCATCTCACGAAGAAGCCTTGCTTTCTGATGAACGTATTTATAGCACTCAGTCACGTAAAACAACCGAGAAAAACACGCCAACAGTCAAAACCAATAAACAGACTTGTCAAGGCATCGGTAGACCATGACTGCACAAAACACAAATGCACAACTAGCGTAAATGTTTTTAAAAAGTAAAAATGGCTCCAACAGGTCAAGAGCATCTTTTTACAGAGGTCCAAGTGTGCGTCACTGTCCCTCCTGAGGACAATGTGGACATTAGTTTAGCAGAGCTGGTTGATAAATTCCTCCATGCATAAACTTCAGCTAAAAGAATGCTAACAGTCAAGAGCTTGTTGAGTAATTCGTCCTCGTTTGAGAGTTTCCCCACTTGTAATCGATCTGCGATGCCCTCAAGAAAACTCGTGTCACGTTCCAGTGAACGAGACCCCGGCCCTAATGAAAGAGTGTGTAAGAGACCCCACCTCAGCACACAGAAAATGTCAGAACTAGCACTTATAATGAATGGGGCTTTGCAAAAAAAAAAATGTGAATGCAGCATCAAACCTTCCAACAGGGCATAGCCAAGGGGAAACCCAGGAATTGGGAAAGAAAAACAACTGACCGCTGAATCTGAGATAATAGCTGCTCAGTGTAAACATAAAAAAACTAAACATTGCATCTGTGCAGCAGCAGTCAGGAGGTGAAAACTTGAACGAAGAAAGATTTTCCCATGTTTCTTGACCTGCAGACTGAAGCACTACGATGACAGAGCCACTGACAGCAGGAACACAGCATGAGCTGGTCAAAGCCCAGCCAAGAACACCAAACAAAAACTCCACCAACGTCTGATTCATGAAGTATCAGCGCTCCCCGAACAGAGGAAGACAATCTCTCACCCAACATTTGGAAAGCAGCAATGATCAAAAATACTGCACTGCATCAACAATAAAAGAAAGTTGTTTCAGGTCCCTCCATCTCCAGTTTTTGATATGCTTCATTTTCTACAGGTCTATTTAAAGAAAGAAGACTTTTTACAAGTATTACAGCTCAAAAATAACTAGTGTGCCAAAAATATTTTTTAAATAGTAACCAGTTCATCACACTAATGAACAGCTTTACAACATTTCTAATAAGTCTTTTTGAACACTTCAGAACTAATTTATCATCCATGTAAGGCTGCAGCAAAGCCAGTTTAGGAGTGAATGTGGTTTTTCCACCAACTTCAGATTAACACCAAATTGCAAAGTGGACTAACTTATAACTGCACTGAAGGGCAAAAGTGATCTCGTGAAAAATCCCTATCTAGTGTTTGGTGGAGGTGTTGTAAAATATGGGATGTTTTAGAGATCTATTTTTCTGCTGGCCTCCTTGTACCAGTTAGTTCGTCTTTCCTGCCATGAATCCTCACTACTTCCCTTCCTGAGACCAAGCTGATCACTGGTTACTGCAGGTGATGTGCTGACTACTCATAAGCCCTTTTCAGATTGACATTCTGGAATATGTGTGGACAATTCAGTCCGGGTTTTAACCAGAACTGTGTTTTCAGACACACCACATTTGTACCTGAACTTGTCCTTTTGGCTGCGTTCACACAGCAGGGAAAAGTTCCAGATGTCTGAGGGGGAGGGGGGGTGTGTGTGTGGCTGTACCCAGATATTGCGTAAACATAGTGCGGCGGGCGTACATGCATCATTTACCCAAACAAAGCCATTCAGTCAAACATGGCAGACAAAGAGATAGAATTCCTCTCACTGGTCGGACTTGTTAAGCATAATTCTGCGCACACGAAGACGCATAAGAGACCTGGATTATGAAGCTCAATGATTAATAAAGGAATCACGGAAGCGGTGTGAAGCGCTCCGTCGCGCGCCTAGGAGACGGCAGGGGCGGCGTTAGGCCCGGCTACTTGGGCTCAAGCCCCGAATCTTTAATGAAAAGCCCCGGATCTCAAACGTGGAAGTAACATGCAGTACCAAAGTCCAACAGAGAGGGAGCAGCTAGCAGTAGTTTGTATACAGCCTGCCTGAGCCTCCACCACTGAAGAAGAAGCCCTTCAGCAGCCGGCTTCTTGTGCAGTGCCTGGTTTCTTTTACACCCTGCCTGAAACGCATGAGTGAAGATGGACATAAGGACGTTTTTTAGACCAAAAGTACAACGACAGGACCCCGGCTTTGATGAGACTGGTGTTGACTCAGGTTTGTGAGTCTTATTTGGAAAATATTTGTTGTGCTGCTGGTTTGCCTAAAGTTAGCTTATCAGGTAAAGTTGTTGGAGAAAGAAAGGGAATATTTACTATCATCTCACACTAAACACTATCAGGAACAATATTCTGCCCTGAATATGCTTAATATGTAGCTTCAGATTAAAAATTATGTGGTACAAGACAAATATATGTGATGTTGACTAGTGCGTGTCACGTGTGTGTGTGTGTTAAGCCCCAGATCTTCTTCAGTCCTTAATCCGCCCCTGAACGCGCCTGCTGTTACTAAGGGCTTCGTCCGGTTTAATTACAGAAAAGGTTATCCAGATGTTTGTATTCAGACACAAAGGTCGTAATCATGGACGTAAATTGGGGGGGGGGGGGGGGGGGGGGCATGACCCCCCCACTTTTTCCAAAGTCAAGTTTGGACCCCTGCACTTTTTACCATCCAAAAACAATAATACGCTATATTGACACTGGTTGAGCTCTAGGACCAAGCGGAAAACAACCGTTTGTGTTGAAGCCTGTTTCCCATTAGAACGTACTGTAAAGATAACCCCCCCCCCCCCACACACACACACACACACACACTTCTAAAGTGAAAGTTACGTCCATGGTCTTAAGGACAGAGTCCCGAACATTTCCGTTTTTCATGGCCTGTCTGAAGGGGGCTATAGGTACACTAAAAAACTCTCCTTCAAGATTACAAGAATGTCCTCTCAGTTGTCTGGATCTGTTTTTGCACAGCTAGCCTTTGAAAGGATTCCCTGGAGCTGAGAAACCACCAAGTCAGACATAAGAGCTAAAAATTGTTAGGGGGGGGGGGGGGGGGCAACAACAGCCGCCACAAAGTAAATCTTCACAGTTTACTCTACGTGACCTTTTCGGATACAAACTTGGCAGCAAAGTGCAGCTCAGTAGTTAAAATCATGGTTGGAATTATGAGGGAGCCAGGATCCCCCCCTAGCTCCCCCGAATGGGTGATGCCCCACCGTGAGTGTGTGTCCTGACTTTAGGGATAACCATGAGGTGGCTGCAGGAGGAGCCCAGAGGTCGCGAGGGTTCACATGGTAAAAGTAGGTCAGAGATAAGAAGGCCCAAGACCATTAAGACACTTAAGATCCATTAAATGAACCTTAAAATTGACCCTGAAACACACGGGAATCCAATGCAATGATTCTATGACCGATGAAATGTGTGTCAAATTAAAAAGATAAAAAAAAGTGCTTAAAAAGAAACAAAGTAGGTAGATTTATCCCCAGCACACACTTTTAAGTGTATCTATTATAAATTTCATGCAATCCAGATCACTTCAAAACTCCCACACCCAGAGACAATTCAAGGCATTAGGGAGCCTAAATAGACTTAAAAAAAGACAAGTTCTGTAACATGATTATGTGTGAAAATCAAATTAAAAATAATCAGAACAATAAGAAAAATGTAAGACTTATGATTAAAATCATGTCACTCCATCTGTCAAAGATGGAGGAGGCAGTGTCATGGTTTGGGTTTAAATGGCTGTAATAGCAAAGGCTTTAACACTAACAAGACTGATTACTTTGACCTATGAGCCTCATTAAGACTCAAAGACCTTGAATAACACAAAGAACAACCATTGTTTATCAATCAAGACAAATGGCTGCTATTACAGTTACTCAGTATTTGGTGTTTAAAGGTGACGCTAACAGAGATGCTATCAAAGCTAAAATAAGAAAATCTTGACACCTTTTCTCACTCACATTCAGGTGCAAAACTGTGACTTGAAAATATTTCAACAACTTTAAATGTCTTCGCCGCCTCATCTTTGCACCAAAAAGTAGCTTGTTTACATTTAACAACAACAACCTAAATAACTGCCTTTTATCTTAACTTCATCTGTAATATTTTTTTCTTTAGCAAGAATAATTCCAGTTATATTACCAAACCTCCTTGGCTGCAGTTAAAAAACAAAATAAAACATTGATTATAAGTGCCTAAGAGCATGTGGGACGAGGCACGATAGGAGGATATGTGCATTTGAATCCCACACCTCCAAGACAGCTGCTCTGAAGACTGAGCTTCGTTTTCCTCACGTTAGTGCACCCCTCCAGAAAAAACATTAAATCCATCAACCAGGACATTTTGGCATGCTCCTCCCTGACCTTACTTTTCTTTTCACCCTTTGAGTGAGGCTTAAGGACAAGACACGACTTTCATAAATAGTTGAAATTTGAGCTAATTTTTGGCATGTTAACAAAGAAATAGACATAACAGTTTAGCCTCATCATGATGAGTTTAATCTGGCAGCTGAACGAGTCCCACGGTGACACACGCTAGACCTGATCCCAGGGTAAGGCTCTGGTGTCTGACAAAAGGCCGAGGGGGACGGTGTTGTCCGTCTCTATAGCAACAAGCAAACTGAGAGGACCTGTTGCAGATAACACTGCAGCTGCCCCTCGCTGATATTATGATTTGAAAAATCAAAGGCCACAGCTTGTTCTTCACACTTCTCTGTGGGAGCTTCGACATGCTGCACCAAATCTATACAAGCTGGAGGATAAGCAAAGGTCAAAGCAGCCCGCAATAATCCAGCCTTACCTTGAGCCCCATCAGGACTGGGTTATTAGGGTTGGGACTGATACAGATTTTTCACTCCTTACAAAACCTTTGCATGGACATATTTCTTCACGATGCAACCCACCAACAGCGCAGCAAAAGCTTACGTACCGATGGCTGATTCGCCAGCCTCCTATTGTGTTTCCTTACCCTGTAAAAGGCTGTTGACAGGGGCAGCAGCGCGGTGGCTACCGTGTACTCCTCAGAGGTGGAGCAGTCCTGCAGGTGGAACAACAAACATGAGGTAAGAGGTGGTGAAAGACACACAAACGCTTAAAAGCATCTGATATTTAGCAGATAGGTCATGTTGAATGTGGCCACTTAACTTTACGAAGAAGGATTTCATTAGAGATATTTTCAGTGGATCAGCATAGCAGGAATGTGATTTGGGGGTAAAACAAAAGGGGCAAAATATCTGTCCAACAAATATGTTACAGAAAATCTGTGTGACAAAAAACCTGCAAAAACCCCTCACTGGTCTTGTCCGTTATTGGAACATGTGCTTTCAATAGCCTTACATAATCCATGCCTTCGCACAATTGTCAGAATCCTTCAGTTTTCAATTTATTGACCATCTCAGGGTGCGCATTCTTGAACCAGACTTCAATTTTCTTTCGAATAAATGACAAGTTGTTGCATGAAACCCAGTCATCTGTTTAATGGATCACCGAAGCACCAAGAATTAGCCAGGAGGCTTTTGCTGTTCATTTATTCTTTAATCAGAAACACCACATGGGTGTATTTTTTTGCGTTTTGAGGTCTGGGCTGTTGGGTTCAAGATTAACGTATTTATCTAAATCAAGCATTAAAAGGCTTTAAGCAGTGGGCTTAGGGGGCCCAAATGAAACTTTTCATACAGAGATCACATAAGAGTGATGAGAACAGGAGAAAAATACACAAGTTAGACTGAAAAGTACTTCACCCACAGGAAATTACTTCTTATTACTGGTAAGCTGTGTTGAGATTTATTTGGTGAACTCTGTGAATGAATGGTCAGAGGAAACAAGATTTAAGACCCCGATTCTGACCTCCTGCAACCTCAGTGTGACCTCAAGACAGCAAAATGCCTCCATCCCAAACATTTTATCTCTTTTTTATTTGTTGTTTTTTTGCCTCCAGCATTTTAAGTCACATCTGTATCTTCCATAAGCGGTGTACTCATAATTCTATCTGACAGGAAATGGTTAAGATGTCTTTTATTTTGGTGGGAGATAGAAGAAAAGGAATGCTCTGATAGTTTGTGGGGGGTGGGGTGGGGGGTTGCTCAGTTACCACCAGTCCTCAAAACATACACACGCAAGAATGTATGGTCGAGTGAGAAAATGCGAAACACATGAAAGCCTGACCCCCCGTCGACTGAGCGGCATAGTTTCTGTTTTAGTTTTTTTTTTCTTGTCGCTTATTTGGGCTGCGGTAAAATTTTCCAGCTTACGGGAACGGTGCCAACGCTTTGTTTATCAGCATCCACAACAAGGCTGCAGGTCAAAGGAGTTCATGGACCGAAGTCAATTAGAACAAGTGGAAATGTACAGATCAAAGAAAACAAAAATACGTCCTTTAAACAAACCAGGACCAGTCTTACAAAAAAAAAAAAGGAAAACCAATGAAAGAGAAAACATGAAAAGGTTAAAGTCAATCTTAAGGCAAAGGCATAAAAACATTTTTTTGATCTCACAGAGAAGATAAGTAGCTCAAAAGCCATGAAGGTCAACCACCAAAACCAGCTGATAGCAGCAAAGTCGTGTTCAGGATTCTCTCATTGCCACAGGGCTGAATAGATCCACACGTAGCGCTGTGGGGGAGTGAACGCCAACTTATTTGGGATTTAAAAAATAAGAGGGGAGAGATAATGGTCACCCCACACGTCTGTTTGCAAGGACACCCTGCGGTCTTCGTTTCCTTCCATTATTTAGAGCATGTCTCACAGGTTTTGTCTCACTCCAGAAGCCTAACGGTGACCAACGCTGCTACTCTGCTTCAGACACGTATTCAGTGAAGAAAAAAGGAGGAAAAGGAAGATTTGCAAGAAAAACAGCCGGATGTGAAAATGCAAATACTTCCTGTGAGCACTTTCCAAGAAAGACATGAGAAAAATGAACATTTTAAGGGATGTGTAGGCATGACCAATATGAGAACATCAATGCTGGCCTCATTCTGGCTCACTAATGAGGAGGACTAAACCTCATACTGATAAGCCTGTGAGCTTTTGCAGCTGTTTATCGCCCCGTCGTCTGATGTGAGGGTTAGGTAAGTAGCTAAAATGCGACCATTTGTTAGCTTTGGTCAGATTTTCAGATCATCCTCCATCTCTCTCAGAAGATGTGTAACTGTGTCCTGTTTGAGCTGTGACAGCTGGTGTTCACACATAGTTTGAGTCTCTAAAAAGCCCATTCAAAGTGGAACAGTGCGAATGGATCGCATCCTCCATCCACGGTCTCCATGTACACAAATGCTGGACCGAAAGTCGGTCGCATTCATGCAAGGACTTGATAATTATCCACAAATAAGGTGGATAATTAGTGTCATTTTTAAGTCTTTTTCCATCATTTAATGATTATTAGTAGTATTCATTTAACTCTCTTTAAATGGAAAACATTAATGTTTTTAGCACCTTCTGTATATTAAAAAACAAATATGTAACAGGCTAATTATAGTCTGCACCCAGTATTCTTTAGACGTGGTTAGGGTAAGGTAGGGTAACCCCCAAATTCCATTACCCCCGCTCCGCTCCGGCACGAACTCCGGAGCAAAATCGGTCCCGTTGTAGTCAATCAGCGCAATTCCACTACTGCGGCCGTGCGGCGCAGTGCGCCGCCCTCTATTCCGGCGTCCAGCAAAAATAGAATCGATCCTATTTTTGCCGGACGCAGGAGCACCTCCGCAGTCAATGGACAGGAATCACAACCACCCAACAGGAAAAGGAGCAAGCACAACTTCCGTTTTTCACAATAAATCGATAAACAAAAAGCGTTTTTTGTTTCATATGCACAGTTTAACAACCTTTAACAACTATCAATGGTGGCTGAACTTTAAATGCACAAAAATACAGTTTCCACTATCAAAGTAGTCACACTTTGTTGATCCAAACACTGCTGATCTCTCAACACAAATGATGGGCAGATTAAACAGTTCATTTCGATGCTTCTCCCACACAACGGGTGTTTGGATATAACTTCCGCGTTTATTGCTCGGACTGTATCGCAAGATCTCGAAAATCCCGCGCATGCCTGTTTGCGCACCTCAGGTCTCCGCACCGGAGCGGAGCCGTTGTAGAGCGGGTACCAGTAAAAATTGAGTTCGGAAGCGAGCGGCTGCGGAAGTCAGGGGCGGACTAGAGCGGAGGTAGTGGAATTTGGGGGTAAGGGTTTTCATTAGTTAGCTTAAGCATGCTCTTTTGCTAGGGACTCTTATTGTGAAAGGGTTTTAATGGATGATATGCTTTACTTCTGTGCAACTGTTGAAATAATAAAGAAGCTTTAAACTTTTTGAACCAGTAGAAACAGATGACCTTTTGAATCAGTTTCCCTCAACATAGTTTTTTCTTCGTGCTGTACGAATACAGACACCATCTCGTGAGTTTTTCTTCAAGGGGCAGCAGTAGCTCAGGGGGAAGGGCAGGTTGTCCAGCAATCAGATGTTTGTAGGTTCAATCCCGACTCCCGCCAGTTGTGGCGCCTGTGTTCGGCAGTCTCACTTCCATCAGTGGACCCCAGGACAGCTGTGGCTTCATAGTAGCTCATCATCACCAGCGTGTGATTGTGTGTGTGAATGGGTGAGTGGCTGATTGTGCCGTGAAGCACCTTGGAGGGTCGTAGAACCCTGACCCCTACGTTTGGTCTCTTTGGAGAATCACACCAGCTGTGGTCTCTCATTTTTGGGATGTTGCATCAAGCAATAAAAAGCTTTTTGTAGCTTTTAAACAGCGCCATCACCAAATACGGTTTTAACAAGAAATTAACATCAAAGCTCTAATCCTGCCACAGTAACCATAGAAACTGGTAACCCTTCCATCACTAATCTGAACATGGGAATGATACCAGGCACAGATTCCCAGTGACTTTGTTACATAAGGCAGTCCATCAAGTCTACGAAAGCAGACGGGGGCCATTTTCTCACAGCGAGAGACTTGAATCTGATCTAAATCATCTAAAATTAAAAAGTCATCTATATGTTACGAAAGCAAACGATGAAAGCAGGAATCCGTTTTATTATCTCCGACTTCGAGTCGTTTGCATTTTTTTACAGGATGATTATCGAAAACATCAATATCTGTTTGGATAGTAAAACTCAACCTCATGGCCTCTCTGCTGTTGCATCCCTTTCGTATGGACCTCCCGCCTCAACACCCCCACAGCAAGCTGCAATTCGGAGCGTGTTTTTGAGCACCATCATGAGGCCCTCAGCCATAAGAGAGCCGAGCGCAGAGGGCTCATAATCCTATCGGACAGGAAATGTTTGAGATGCCACGACACATCCACAGCAGGGCTCATTCCCCCACATGGTTTGCACAATGTTAATTTCTCCAAGCTGGAGTACTGACCTCAGTGTGTGTGCATGCACGCATGCACACACTCGAGGAAAAACAGACAAATTATTGAGCTATTAAGTCATAGATCCTAATGAGGGTCATTAATCTGATGACTCGTGGCAGACTCCGATTAAAAGTTGTGACTAATCAGAAAACAGTATGCAGAGTTTAGGTAAACGTTTGTAAATGACAAAACATTAAAACAAAATACAGCAATAAGCTCCGCTTAACGATAAAAACCTACCCTTGACGTTGTTGTGCATCTTTAGGGCGTCACATTTCCTGCAGCCGCGTAATCGTTTTCAAAAAGAAAACCCTGACTGCAACCAGACAGCAGGATTGTTAGCTAGACGATAGATGTTGTGATTGGCCTCCTGTTGGTGATGTCACCGCATCGTCAACCAGTCACATCAACACACAGCGCCAGCGCCAACAATTCTAACAGGGACACATGGCTTCATAACACAAACAGCTCACATTGTTAAGAGGATACTTCACAAACAGATGACCTTGTACCGTTTACGGCGTCTTTTTGGGGGGGTGGTGAAAGAAAGGTCAGAGTTCAAAATATGAAAGTGATTACAGGCTTGAAAAAAATACTATTTATGTTCCATCTACAGCCCACCTGAGAGTTATCGCTCACAAATAAGCAAAACAAATGCTTTAGAAAAAATAAAATAAAGCTGTTACA